TTGCCAACTCCCACTAATTGTTCCCTTCATCAGTAGACGGCGCCTTTGGAAAAATTGTACAACCTTGGTGTACAACTAATACATTTACCACAGAGGTCTACTGAAGGTATTTGCAGCATGTGTTGGTGTGGGAATTAGGTTGGCACCTTCTGGCCCTCTTTGCATGCCTATTTGACAACTCCTACCATTTTTTATGAAATTCATCGCAAGAATGACTTACCTGATGTAGATGACATGGCCGTAAGCTGTGCAACACATGCAACCCCTTTCATTATTGGCCTGCTCGGTTTTTGGTTGTTGGGGAACAGTTTTTTGGTTGTTAAGCACCGGCGCGCAAATCACTAAGTACGGTAGTACTTAGTGTATAGAGATTGGCATGGTACCTATAGCATCATAGATGTATGGATGATAGGGAGTTTTGTTCATCTTCTTCTTCTTCAGATTGAACCCATGTAACTCAAGAACGAAATAACATATCACTAAGTACGGTAGTACTTAGTATACTAGTAAATTTTAAAAGAGGCATATAGGGATGGTATAAAAAGAAAGGGAGACAAGATAGGGATGGGATACATGAAGCATGGTTAATGAACAGATTTGAGTACGCTGACACCCCCAACCCCATCACACAATCCCTATATTCTTGCCTGGTGTGCTACTCTTATAGGGGCTAAAGGTTACTAAAAGCTAGCATTCTTTCACCATGTCCCTGTTGTTCTTAGTAACATTTCTACTTTCATACTGCCACATTCCCTTTAATTAAACTCCACTTGGACTCTATAACCGTGTTGGTTACTCAGTAGCAATACTTTTTGTATTATTAGTTCTGAGTATTGTAATGGGGATTGTGTGATAGGGTCAAGGGTTTAAGTGTGCTCAAATTTGTTTGTTAACCACGCTTCATGTATCCCATCCCTATCTTTTTATACAATCCCTATATGTCGCCTTTTAAATTGGCAGGATTTTTAATGTATACTAAGTTCTACCGTACTTGTGATTCTGTATGAAGCAAGTTGTGTGTTCCGAGAAATTTCTGTGACAGCTTTCCTCCATTGAAATTGCCAAGTATTGCAGTACTTGGAGACGAAACGGTGTTTGTAGATATAAATGAATGCTGGTGCCATTCATACAGTGTTACTGACAGTTTGAGTTGAGGGGAAAAATGCAGTGTGTTATAATACTGCAGCCTAACAGACACATTAAAGGAGTGTGGCAGTGTATAAATTTAGAAGCTGTTACTGCATTCTTTCACTGGGCCTGTTCCATATTCGGTAACATTTCTAAATTTATATACCTCTTATGTACCGGCAATACGTGTACCCTTGTCACTATAGAGTCGTCGCTGTCTGAAGGAGGGAGAGAGATAGACGAGAGAGAGGCCACGTGCTACCTGTTTGCAGTTGGGGAGCTGTGTCGGCTTAGTCCTGCCCACACCTCTTCTCACCTCACTCTCGTGGTCCACTCCTTACTACTGGCCACCAGGGAGGGAGATGGAGGTGGGTGGTGTGTGTGTGTGTGTGTGTGTGTGTTGTGGCAGAGATAGTGCTGTCCTTACTACTGGCCACCAGGGTGTGAGTAGGGTTTGTGTCTCTCATGGTTATGCCAGCCACCAGGAATGGGGATTAGCGGAAATTTCTGATTGTTGACAAAGTTGCATCCTGTAAATTTCGACTGTCACACCACGTGTCTCTGTATTTCCCTCCACAGAGAAGCCGAGTTTCCGATCCCTGTCCTCTCAGTCTTCCCAACTCTCTGGTCTCACTAATCTCTCCTTCTCCCCCTCGCTCCGGGCCCTCAGCTACCTCACTCTAGGTCTGTTCCCTCTAGTCATCCACCACACTATTTCCCTAGGTTTTCCCTTGGAAACTGTGTGGAAGAGTAATTTTACAACAGTTTACTCTTGGTTGCTAATACTGTACATCTGGGGGTGTCTAGGGGAAAGGAAAATTTACAACTTGTGAGAGGCCAAAAATATATGGAATGGTAATTTTTCACATGAGAAAACTATTCCATTGGTCGCTCCTGCATAATTATGTATCTACATAGGGGTATATACTGTCTAGGGGTATGGCCTTCTGGTGCGTGTGCGTACCTATTATGCAGCATGTAAGTACCTGACTGAAGTGGGCTGAAGTGGCCTTATAGAGAGAGCACATTGTATGTCATTAGTGCAAACACTGTGTGTCGGTTCAACACCCTCTCTGTTTGGTGACTTGCATAGGGAAGCTGTGTCTCCAGGACGAAGAGTTGACGAAGCAAGTCATCCCGCAGCTGGTCAGGGAGCTGCAGACCTCGCCGCACGCCGCGACTCGCAACAACGTGATGGTGGTTCTGTGTGACCTGGCGGTGAGGTACTCGGTGAAGGTGGACCCCCACATACCCAGCATCGCAGTCTGCCTCAGAGATGAGTCACTCCTCGTCAGGAGGTGAGCTGCTGCTTATACTAGGAGCAATGCAATGCATTTTTGGCAAGCGCTCGATTTTTCGCGCATGACAGTAGTGTAGCTATTAGTGTGGATGTGCTAACAACGAGGTCTGAAGGCAAAGGCAAACAAAAGAACACAACGACACCCAAGACAACTCTTTTCTCCAAAAAGGAAAGAGCTGCCCTGGGTGTGATTTGAACCCACGACACTCTGTACACCAGGCGAACGCTCTACCATGTGTTTCTCCCTCCCTCTCTCTCTCTCTGTCCCTCCCCAGACAAACACTGACTCTACTGGCCAGTCTCATTCAGGAGGACTACATCAAGTGGAAAGGAGCCCTCTTTTTCCGCTTCATCAGCACTCTACTGGACGAGGAGCTCAGGGTCTTTGGTGAGTGAAATGAGTCAATGGTGCAACTGTACTCCTGTTGTCCTTTTGCTCCCAGCGCAGTTTTCCGTGAATAAATGAATGTTCATCTTCTGTCCCTATTTTCCTCACTATTAGCCGTTACTCTCTCTCTCTCTCTCATCGACATTGAAACCTCAAAGACCCTCTGATTCTTTATAAGGGACATTTGGGTCTGCCCCATACTTACACATTAGTACACCTCTGAATAAAGCACACCGCTTAATCAATGTCCCCAATGTATTTCCCCTCTCTTCTGAATCCCTAATCTCACATATTACATCTTCTCACTGATGCAGCTGAGTTTTGCCTGGTTCACATTCTCCTGGCCAGGAATCCAAACATGTTCTTCCAGCACTTTGTCGAGTGTGTCTTCCACTTCAATGGCTATGAGAAACACAGAGGTACCTAATTAATTAATGCCCAGCTACAACTTAGACTAGTGACACAATTGTATGGCCAGAGGCACTACTAAGCACATTGCGCCGTCTCTCTGCGAAGAAAGAAAGAAATTGGTTCTGCCGTCACAGCCCTTGCAAAATGGCATGGTAGGATGTGCCATTGTGACGTGTACAGTATGTGTAGTGTTTGAAACCCACCCAGCGTTTATAGCATTTTAAAGGTAGTCCTGGGACATGCTTTAGCTTCGTTCTAGAGAAGAGCCCCGTGTGCAAGCATAACACTGCACGAGATTAGGAGCAAGACGAGGTACAGTAGTATTGTGAAGAGAGCTATATTATATCTCTGCCAGTGCTAATGAAGTCAGAAACTATCAATAGTGTTCCCTTCTCTGTCGATACTGTGCAGTGTACAACAGGTTCAGGCAGACGGACAGAGAGAGGGAGCTGTTCTCTCTGAAGGGCAGCAAACACAGGGACCAGCGGATGAGGCTGTACTCCTTCCTCCTCTCCCACATGACGGACCCTCACAGGTTCCAGCTCACCGCCAAACTCTGCCAGGAGGTGGGTGTGTGCATGTGTGTGTGACAGTGAGAGAGAGAGGAGTTTATTGGTGAGTGGGAATGAGCTAACCTACATATAGTGGTCCAAATGGTTCCAGCTCACCGCCAAACTCTGCCAGGAGGTGGGTGTGTGCATGTGTGTGTGACAGTGAGAGAGAGAGGAGTTTATTGGTGAGTGGGAATGAGCTAACCTACATATAGTGGTCCAAATGGTTCCAGCTCACCGCCAAACTCTGCCAGGAGGTGGGTGTGTGCATGTGTGTGTGTTAAATTGAGAGAGAGATGTGATGTTTTAGGATTCACTTGTCTCCCGGAATCTGTGAATTTTTTATTCGCAAGAACAGGGTTCCTATAAAATCAACTCTGTCAATATTCATAATGTCTAGAGGGTTTATACGTGACATGAATATTGGACGTTGAAATTGTCACTTATTCTAAGAACAAGTTGCAGTTGAACTCCCACTACAATATTTTGAGAATCTATTGTGGTATCAAAATGGTTACTGAGATGTTTGTGATGAATCCAGTGTTGCTCACATGGTATGTCCCGCTACAGTAGGTCCTGCTACAGACAGAAACTCAAATCGTAAGTGAAAGTGTATCTCGAGGCATGGACAATTGATTGATAGCGTGGCTATTGCTCCGTTCCTTTTCTGCCGATGGGTTACACTGACATGGTTGTTTTCGATTTTTCACGCTACAGTAAATGAAGCAAAATCAGTGAATTTGGGTTCCTATAAAGCCAACTCAGTACACGAATGTAAATAGTCTTTGCTCATAATTCGTAATGTTGATACAAGATCATAAATGATATTAGCACCTCTCCGTGAGCTACTGGTGTTGAGACCGCGAGTAAATGCATACTCTTGGCCCAACCCATCAATTAGCGGTACCGCGCATGCGTAGTGTGTCGAGGGCTTGCACTTTAGTGCTTTTCATTTAGCTTTGTGTTATTTCTCGGAACTGATGATTTGATCATTGACGCTAAGGATAACTGGAATGCAGGATTCACTTGTCTCCCGGAATCTGTGAATTTCTTATTCGCAAGAACAGGGCTCCTATAAAATCAACTCAGTACATGAATCTAATTGTCTTTGCTCATAATGTTCAGAGGGTGATTTTGTAACCCATTGCCACCCATTGCAATCCTACGTCTATAAAAGCAAGCTACGTTTCAACTATCACCGAAATTTTTTCAGAGTCTACTGTTGAAGCTTGGAAATCTGATTAATAATGTTTGCGAAGGCAGTGGTATGTGCTGCAATATTGGTTTATCTTGGTACTGGAGTGGCCAGTCAGTTCACGTGTACTGTATCACTGGAAGCAGAGAATGGAACAGGAGGGAGGTATATGTATCGAAGTAATGCCTCATGGGGAATATCAGTTTTGCTGCTTGAACATGAACAACTAATTCATGATAATTTGGTCTTCCGTTCAGAAGATAATTTGTGTTCTCTGCAGCTATTTGGCATCAGATATTCAAATGATGGTAAAGGTGGCCAAATTGAAGCATTTTTAAACGGCACCTCCCTCGGTGCTATTACAACCCCTGCTGAGTCAGAGTCTAGTGTAAACATGTTTCAGACAGTGGAAATGACATCAAAACTGAGAATGTTTGAAGGGAAATATACAGTTAAACTATTTGTCGTTGAAGCTGACCCAAATGGGATTGAAATTGATAAATGTTTGCTGCAATTTGAGTGCTCTAATAAGTGCTCCCTGTATACCTTTAGAAAAATCACAAAATCTAATAATGAACTTTCGCTGGACACTAATGAAAATGAAAATATAAATGGTGAAGATGACCTACTGAATGTGCTTGGAACTAATGGAACTGTTTCGAACTTTGATCTTACTACTGCCGAAAAAATTGGGATTGGAATAGCTGCGGCATTGGTTACAATATTAGGAGCTGCATGTACACTTATGTTTACTTGCGTTTGTATTATACGAATCTGTTCTGACTCTGGAAATGACGGTGAACGATCGCCGCTTTCTCGCAACCCAAACCAAGGAACACCATCAACTTACAGACAATTTTGCTGCTTTAATTTCTGTAGTTGAAAGTGGTTTACCTTTTGGTACATGTATGTACCTTTTGGTGTCTTGTTACATTGTGCTTACATCTTTAACATTATTATCATTGTGTACATACATACATGTACATATGTATGGATTACCTACACAGAATGGTTTTTACAAGAACACATGTATAACCTACTAAATGTCGGGTGAATTGTGTACATTATTAACCCTCGGCGTGCATGCACAGCGATGGTTACAGTACTTGGTCTGTGTGTCTGTCTATCTGTCTGTCTGTTACCACGTTTTCTGCACCATGCACAACAAACCGGCCAAAAAGCGACACCAACGGTTCACCGCTACACTGGCTTCATTTTAAAAATAGAGGTTTTTGTAAAGATACTCCGTTCTAAAGTTGTGGCGTGAAAACCAAGTCAACAGGCCAATATGCTAATTAGCACAGGCTTACCTCGACCGGGTCCGCTTTTCTGTGGATGTTGAAGGCACAAGAGGTCACAACGAAGGGTGTGTATTGACTCCCGCATGCTATCTACTGCTGTAGCTAGTCCGTGTCAGACTCTCTGCAAGCTACTAGCGGGAGACCATGAGTAACGCATACTAATAGCCCAGCCCATCGATTAGCGGTACTGCGCATGCGTAGTGCACCGAGGGCTTGCACCTAAGTGCTTTTCGTTTAGCTTTGCGTTATTTCTCGGAACTGATGATTTTGATCATTGACGCTAAGAATAACTGGAGTCCAGGATTCACTTGTCTCCCGGAATCTGTGATTTTCTTATTCGCAAGAACAGGGTTCCTATATAATCAACTCAGTACATGAATCTAATCGTCTTTGCGCATAATGTTCAGAGGGTGATTTTGTAACCCATTGCCACCCATTGCAAACATACGTCTATAAAAGCAAGCTACGATTCAACTATCACTGAAATTTTTTCAGAGTCTACTGTTGAAGCTTGGAAATCCGATAAATAATGTTTGCGAAGGCAGTGGTATGTGCTGTATTATTGGTTTATCTTGGTACTGGAGTGGCCAGTCAGTTCACGTGTACTGTATCACTGGAAGCAGAGAATGGAACAGGAGGGAGGTATGTGTATCGAGTAATGCCTCAGGAGGAATATCAGTTTTGCTCTTTAACATGAACAACTATCATGATAATTGGTCTTCCGTTCAGAACATAATTTGGTGGTCTCTCTGCAGCTATTTGGCATCAGATATTCAAGTGATGGTAAAAGTGGCACCATGAGCATTTTTAAACGACACGCCTCCCTCGGTGCTGTTACAACCCCTGCTGAGTCAGATTCTAGTGTAAACATGTTTCAGACAGTGGAAATGACATCAAAACTGAGAATGTTTGAAGGGAAATATACAGTTAGACTCTCTATCGTTGAAGCTGCCCCAAATGGGATTGAAATTGATGAATGTTTGCTGCAATTTGAGTGCTCTAATAAGTGCTCCCTGGATACCTTTAGAAAAATCACAAAATCTAATAATGAACGTTCGCTGGACACCAATGAATATAAAAGTGGTGAAGATGACCTACTGAATGTGCTTGGAACTAATGGAACTGTTTCGAACTCTGATCTTACTACTGCAGAAAAAATTGGGATTGGAATAGCTGCGTTACTCGTTGCAATATTAGGAGGTGCAGGTACAGTTACGATTACTTGCGTTATCTGTTCTAAAAATGGATATGAACCGCTTGGAGAAAGAAATTGCAATCTATTCTGCAATAATTATAGTTGCTGTAATTGAAAGTGCTTTACCTTTTGGTGTCTTGTTATATTGTGCTTATATCCTTAACATTATTATCATTGTGTACATACATGCATGTACATATGTATGGATTACCTGCACAGAATGGTTTTCACAACAACACATGTATAACCTACTAAATGCCAAGCGAATTGTGTACATTAATGAAAAGCACTAAAGTGCAAAACCCTCGGCGAGCTGCGCATGCACGATAGTCTACCGCTAATTGTTGGGCTGGGCTATTAGTATGCGTTCACTCGTGGTCTCCCGCTGGTAGCTCATGGAGAGTCTGTAGTAGATTGCATGCGAGAGTCGATTCACGCCCTCCGCTGTGACTTCTTGTGCCTCCAAGGTACACAGAGCGAGCGGACACGGTCAAGGTAAGCCTGTGCTAATTAACCCTCGGCGCGCATGCGCAGCGAGGGTTACTGTAGTTGGTTTGTCTGTGTGTGTGTGTGTGTCGTGTCGTGTGTCAGGTGTGTCGAACGCTTACTTCCGGCACTACGAAAGCTCCGAGGTGGCCCATTAGCGGATCCAGTGGCTGGCAGTATACTTATACACGACCTGAAAATAAAGGGCGATTTTCCTGAAACGCTGCATTCCGAAGAGCACAAACGGTACGTTCGCGGACCGAGTACCGTGCCAAACCCAAATTCCTTAAGCGTGCGCATGCGTATAGGACGCGATCAACGCGGTATTTATAATGCGCCAATGCATAACATGGTTTCCACCTCGACCTGATCCCTTGACTCGAATTCATACCTTGGAGGTCCATACAAGACATGTCACTACTGCGAAGCACGTTTACTAATCGACTTACCCGCGCAGGCTAGATACATACTGTAGCTAAGCCGTAGTCAGACTTCTTCGCCGGCTTTACTAGCGGGGAAACCAGGGGTAAAACGCTAATAGCCGGCCCTAGCCCATCCATTTAGTGGCAACAGCACCCGTAGATGTTCTGCCGAGGTTTGGCCTATCGTGACTTCTTTATTTGGCATAGTGTATTTGGCTTGCCTCCCTTTGCTTGTTCATGCAATAAACTTTCTTGAAAGCGCAGTAGGCATAGTTTATACGAATCACCTTTTTTATTTTAAAATGAAGCCAGTTAGCGTGAACCCCCTTTGGTATCGCTATTTTGGTTATCACAAGCTCGTTGCCATATCTATTTGCGACATAAAACGTCCCAGTAGCAGACAGACAGTACAAACGACAACACTTCATCACCAGTAACCTACAACCCCGCTGGCGCATTAAAGCCGCGCCAGAGGGTTAACACAGCTACCACCGTTTGCCATCATGCCTTAATGCAAACTAGACTCCATACTAGTATGAGTGCAAACATATTTTGGCAAGTGAACCAAGCGTCAACTGGAACATTGTGCATAACCTAATCGCCAAGGACTTCAATCCTGCACAAATGAAGGCAAATTTGGTTTGCAGATACCAGCTTCCTACCATATGATTACAGAAATGTCACTGCAACGGTCGTGGATCCTTCATTTTGGGCCACCTACTCTTGGCAAAAGAGACAGATTTGTTTATCTTGATTTACCGCCAAGGAAGTGACTCTGTGGAGACAGGTCCTTTTGTGAAACAGTCAATAACCTGATTCGAAAATTTAGAGCTTCCTATTATTTAAGACCAATAGTATTAGACAAACACAAGGTCTCAGGGTCGCCTGACCTGTTGAATCACACTAAATCTCCCCATCCGGTTTTATGTCTGAAAGTTTTTAAATTTCTTTGTGTTGCTTAGCCCTTGCCAAGCGAGACATATATACCATTTCACAGATGCACTTCCCTTTTCCAAAGCACTAAACGTTCTGGCAAATCAATATCGTGTTAGTTGGGTTCACCTATGTTGCGCACCCAGTCTGCTATAAGGCTGTTCATATTAGCTTGGCATTCTCCACTGGATAAATTTGATCAATTGAACGCTAAAAGAACTGGAGTGCAGAGTCCCGGTATAATGTCAATTTCTTTTCTTATTTCGTTAAGACAAGAGGTTTCCATATAGACATAACGCCCTCACTACAGTACTGATCTACATCGTCTTTATTGGCGTTGTGTCCAAACCCAATGGAGTGAGTCTTGCGAAACCCATTTGCCACCACCATCCACATAAATAATCCTACTCCTATAAAAGCAAGCTCAAACGATTTCACGCTCAACGCGACATTTTTAAAGTCTACTAGTTGAAGCCGGAAATCTCTGATACAAATAAGGATCTATTGAACGCAAGAGCAAGAATTGGTGTAATGCTGTACAACAATCACATTCATGCTGGTAATCATAAAGATAACTCTTTAGGTACTAAAAAAAAAACAAAACAGGGTGGCACAAGTCAAAAACAAGAAAAAAAAAAAAAAACAAAAACTCAAGTCACAGAAAATGTACTAACACAAACGTAAATACAAAAAACCTTGGAAGCGCAGAAATGGAACAGGAGGAGGTATAATAGTAATCGAAGTCTAAATGCCGAGACAAGCTGGAAGGAATAATCAGTTTTGCTGCTTGAAACCAAATGAAAACCAATTAGTATCAATGATAAATTAATGGCTCTTGATTACACCCCGATCAAAAAAAACGATAAATTCTATGTTCTCTGCAGCTAGTAATCGCGGATCAAGCATAAATTACAAATAAGATCGGATAAAATGTGTCACAAATTAGACAAAATCAATTTTTAAACGAGAACAACACCAATCTCCCTCGAGTGACTGATTACAAATATACCCCCAAAACACAAAACCCCTGCATGAGACAGAATCAGATTCTATACTGTGTACACATTTTTTTTCAGACTAGTGGAAACCAGCACATCAAAAACTGAGATACTAATTAAAAATGTTTGAAGGGAATCTACAGCTTTATCGAACCTACTCCTCTATCACGAAATATGAAAGCCTCGACCCACACTGTGATTGACAATGTGAACTGCACTTTTTGCATGCACTTAATGCGAAGTAGCTCTAATAAGTGCTAATCTCCTGTAATAGACCTTACACAGAAAAAACCACAAAAATCCTAATAATGACGTTCAACTGGACACACTAATGAATCTATAAGCAGTGGGTGAACTCGACTGGACTACTGAATATGCATAGCGGACCGATAAAAACATGAAACGATTTGAAACTTTCGCAGTGGAATCTTTAAATAATGGCGAACAATTGGTCTGATTAGGAATAGCTAGCCGTTCTGGTTGCAATAAATAGAAGATGTCAATGCTACATTTACATTTACTATGCTTTCATCTTGTTATTAAATATGGACGTATATTCACATTGCCTCGCAGCTTAATAAGCGTATGCTTTATAATTGCGAAAGCTGCCTTTAACGTCTTACTCGTCAACTTGTTATTATGTCGCTTACCATTCATTATTGACCATTATTATCATTGTGTACATCTCTCACAAGGTCGTGGTACATATGCAAAAAGACTTTATGTGAACTAGAGGATCCAGAACTTCACATGGAAACTCTACAATACACACTCCTCAAAAAAGTCTGAAAAGAATAATTAACAAACAAGTTTCCGGTGAACAATGCAGTCAACATCACTCAGTCGAAACAATACAGAAACTCAGAAAAATTCACAGTATAATAAGGCAAAGTAATAAAGCAAACACTTGAATGTGTAAACAGGTAAAAAAGAGATATAGATAATGTGAACGGGCGAACAACAACGACCCCAAACAAAACTAAATACCAGGTTATCATAATCTACGAAGGCAAAGATCCTTGTGTCCCCTGTTTAGAGTATGCTGCAGTAAGATCCTATCAGGCAATGCTCACATACTAGTCTGTTAGTGATAGTCAGGCAGTTAGAACAGGAACAGACAGCATTTTCCAATTTTTCACAATTTCCTCCCATTCAACAGAGGTGACCACAGGACCGACCAGACATGTTACAGACACGAGCCCGAAGAATTGAATCTACCTGCTGTTTTACAATACATCATCTCTTGTGTTCAGCTTCGACGTTCCGACAAGGTCTACGAAGACACCCGAATTGACCAACGTTAACCACAGGACAGTAGTCACAACACGGGATTTTGATAACACACCTTTCCAAAATGATGTCCCCTGCTGACACAGCTGCTGGCAGCATGGGGTCCTAATGGGTTTCGAGAGTCAAGGGACCCCTGTGCGCACTGTACCACCGTGTGCTTTACCTTGGGCAAACGGTCGTAGACACTCTGTCACCAGCACTGAACGTAAAGACGCTTTAAAAACAGCAGATTTCCATTCTAATGCTCGCTCTGTCGAACCGCTTGGTCGTACCAACGCCCTCCCGGACGCAGCGGCTCACTGATGCTTCAAATAGCGGACACATTTGTTCATAAGCACCCCCAGAACCCTATCACATATAGCCCATCATTACAGGTACAAATACTCCGTACCAAAAACCCAACCTGCTGTCTATCGATAATAGAACTAAAAGATGTTAAAGAGTAAAATGGAAGCGGTAATTGAAAGCAACGAAAAAATGGCGACATTTAGCGTTAGGATCATAAATTCATCAAAGTGAACGAATAGAAAGCGCCGCGGGAGCACATATATTTATTTAGGTATCAAGGTAGAATACAGTATCCTTTTGATGAAACAATCACAAATAAACCTGATCTTCTAAACTATTCAGCCCCAAAAGACCTATAAAGTAGACAACAAACATCAAGAGCGCTCAAGAATGTTCCAGCCTGACCTGGATGAACATATCTAACCATAAACTCACCATCATGCATTAATTTTAATTCGTCTAGAGAGTTTAATGGGTTATAAAACGATTCTTCATGGGTTGACAATGTTCTTCATGAATAACTAAAAATAACTAA